ATTTGAAAACTGCCCTGTTCTGACTTTTTTTATTACTCTTGCCTTTACCTCTCCTTCACAACTCCTATTCACAATTCAAGGGCTTTCTTTTCCCCCTAGAGATAAGAGTTATGCAATTTGGGAGTCTTTTAGATAGACCACTGAAGGGGTACTCCAATTGCTTCACCCTGTGTGCCCTGTTCAGCATGAAAGAAGCCAGAGTGGTCTGCATCCCTAGTCCCCACTGGCAATTTGGGTAACCCCTTCAGAGGATGGCGTGATAAGAATAGGAGGTAGGAATTGGCTAGGCAGTTAGGGTAAAAAGACCCCAAAGAAAAGTAGCCACTTGGCTAAAAGTGAAAATGTCCTTGGGACTGTTAGCAACATACTCTGTTCCAAAGGCCAAAAATGTCAAAAGTATTTGGGAGCTTGAATTTAATCCTTAAAAGATTTTAGGATTACCTCTTCATAGGAGAAAATGTTAGAGTACCCAAAAGCCCCATAAAAATAAATAAAAAAGAAAAAAAAGGAAAACTATTTGCGGGGGGGTGGTCTTTTGGGGACAGGGTCTCTCTGGCCTGGAACTCACTATATAGACCAGGCTGGCCTTGAATTCACAGAGATCCACCTGCCTCTGCCTCCCTAGTGCTGGGTTTAAAAGTGTACACCACCACTCCCGGCCAGGAAAACTATTTCTTTTTTCTTTGTGATGCTGGAATGGAACACGGGCCTGAGCATGTTAGACACGCATTGAGTTAACAGCCCCAACCTATAGAGTATGATTTTGAATAGACAGACAGATGATAGATAGATGTATCACAAGGAAAGATTACAACAGATAAAATATTTTTTGTTTTTTCTTCAGTGCTAGGGATTAAACACAGGACATTGTGCATGCCAGACAGGATTTCTACAACTGAAATGATTATATCCCTAGCTTTGGTGTAAAGATCTTTTTGACAATATTTTATATTGTAGAATTGGACCACTTCATTGTATCAAATAGAGTAAATGTTATGTTACACTGATC